TTTGAACAAAAGGGCTCTCTTTGATTTGCTGGCCCGCCTTCACTTAGGGCGGGCACGAGGCTTGCTGGGGGCCTTAGCCCAGAACATGTATATCATGGCAAGGCCCCTTTGAGGGCTCAATCCTCACATTTTTCTGCATAACAAAGTATTTTTCCAGAATTTTTCGCTTTTTTTTTCCCATGGCCGTGGGGTCGCGGCTTCGGCCGCAGCTGCGGCCTCGACCGCACCTGGCCGCCGCCACGGGGGATACATAGATTCTTACTTTTTTAGCACACATGGGATCATAGCTGTGCCGGCGATAGCTCACCTGCAATCGGAACATAACATTCGCTTATGAAATGGACTTGCATTGGGAATGCCACAACATGTTCCCGACCTACATCACCCACTCGTCGCCACCTCTTCATTCATTCATATGATTACAGCTCATGACCAGCTACATACACCCACTAACAGCCCTTTGTTCATATGATTTATTTATTGACTAATTGATTGATTGATTTATTGACTAATTGATTGATTGATTTATTGACTAATTGATTGATTGATTGATCACAGCTCATCCCAACAAGCTCTCCAAGAATTTACAGAAGATTTTTGTTTAACTAGTGCTCAATTTTATTACTCGAAAACAATTCAACTCTTGGCTTTCGAATCCAAAAGAAGATATAGATCTCTAGAGATCTATATCCTCTTTTTGATTCACCCTTTTCATTCAGGGAAAAGGGATAATTTAGAATATATCGATTGTATATTATGCTAATTACTTCTAATTGAATTGTGGATGCCGCTTGTCTCCACCCATTCATTCCAGGAAGAGCATCAGCAGAACGGAGATTGCGCGCCTCGCTCCACCTCTCGTGAAATGTGGCTAGGGCGTGTATCTTGGCAACATGCCGAGTGTATCTTGGTATAGATAGTGGCAACCTACACGCCATATTTTCTGCATTGGCCGCAAAATGTGGCAAACTGCCGTGTACCTTGGCATAGAAGGGGGCAAGATACACTCACCGAATGTGCAAAACACCGAGTGTATCTCGGCCTAGACGGTGGCAAGTTACACGCCATTTTTTTCGCATTCGCCCCGTGGGTAGAGCGAAATCATCTTGCTCCGCATATAGCATTTATTTTATTTTTCTTTTTTTTCTTCTTTTTTAAACCAATCACTTTATACATTGCAAGGAACCAAATTGAGGCCGGGGACCTCACAATTCAACCCCGAGTAGTTATCCTCTCAGCATCAGCCAGGTTAGCTTATACGGGCATTGCTCGCCCCAAGAGTCCCTCCACTTCTCAATCAACCTAGGTTACACTCCCACTTACATTACCTCGTTTCCAATTCTGGCAAAACAAACCAAAACCAATCGCATTCAGTTTTCTCGGTATCAGTTTCTGCTCTTTGACATAAGTAACACTTCTCAACTCTTGCCCACTGTTCGGATGCAGTGTTTCTCTAGACTACCAGCCTCTACTACCAGGATTAAAACGGCTACCAGGCTGTCTGCCCAGTGGAGACCAGGCTCCTTATTATTCCCAGGTCGCTCTGCAACTGGACCACTGCATCCCTGCCGAACCGAGTGCGCCGTGGTTCCAAGGTCATCTACTCTACCCCCTACTAACTAAACCTACGGTAAGCTAAACCCCAGCAGCTAAGCTAATAAGCCATCTCAAGCCTCCACCTTACTGACCGAGTGCTCTGGTCACTACGATATCCTGCTGATCTTCTCCCCTTCTGTCAGTCTACTCTGTCGCCCCCCCGATCCATGGCGGTGCCAACACAAGGCCCCTTGAACTGTGAGCGGCTGCCAGTTGCCAATTCTTTTTCCCCACGTCCTCAAGAACCAATAGAGCTGTTGTTTGCTGCCTTTCCCTGCCTTCGTCTTCCTCCTCCAATCCACCCAGATTGCCTGTTTCAGGCCGTTCTTCATCAGACCTTTTATCTCTTTGTCTGACAGGGGCCGGTTCTGAAACCTGGCTCTGTTTTTGCGGTCAGTCCAGATCACTTTGCAGATTAGACCCCTTACCGCATGCGCCACATAGCTCCACCCTTTCTTACCTTGTTCCTCTTTTGTTTGCAGGACCCAACGCTCATCCCAACTGACTCCCTCCCCTCCCATCTTCTCCCAGTGGCACTCCCACCATTTCCTCGTTGAGGCGGGACATTCCCACCACAGATGTCGTGTAGATTTGAAGGGCCACCTACAACTGGAGCATTTCAACTTCATCTCCCCCCCCCCCCCCCCCCCCCCCCCCCCCCCTTCCTACTCCATAACCAGACTGCCCAATGGGTTACCATGAGCGATATCATCCACAGGATACTAACCTGTTTTCCATTTGGACGATAAGTCAGTATTCTCCAAACGGTTTTGAACTGTGGCTTAGACTCAGACAGGCCTTCTGTGAGATCAGTCTGCCATCTGGACAATGCAACTTCTGCAGGTGTTCTCCGCGTCTTGTCTGATAGTGCATACCCCTTTTTTTTCCCGTCATGTAGTCTAGCAGTGGGATCGCAGGCTTTCCTCCCAGATTCGACTTCCAACTCCAGGCCTGGGGATCGATGGAGAGCTGTTTCAGCGGAGCGTTACGTTGCCCACCCAGCTCAACGTCCTCGTCGTTTTCTTCGCCCTGTTCAACTCCACCACCTGAATCTGAGGAGGATTACCCCAGCCCAGCGTCGCCGCGGTTTCTTTATTTAATAACTGCAGTTCATTGGAGGCGTGTTGAGATTTCCGTCTTTCAATTCCTCGAAACCCACTGGGTTAGGATCTCTGCTTCACTCTCCAGACCACGTCAGCTTCCAGTCCTTCATTGGCCAGGTACCACGTGTCAACTGGATCAACCCCTTCAGGTCCCAGGATTACTTTCCATTCCTGGGGAATCGCATTCACAACTTGCTGCCAGTTTGTCTCCACGTTGTGCAGGCCTGCTACTACATGTGGTTCCCAAAATATCACCAAACGGCGGAACCCAGGTCCCAGGTCCCCGGTCAGGGGAGACCAAAGGTTCCAAATCAATCCTCACACTTCCTGGCCTCATCCAGGCCAGCCCAAAAGTTGCTGGGGGGCAATTGGCCATCAGACAGTTGCCTTCTTGATCAACTGTGTAGGAATTTTCGAACGGTTGATGAGCCAAGACCTCATCTTTCGTCCTGAGGAGGGGGTGGAGGGGGGGGGGGGGGGGGGGGGGGGGGGGGGGGGGGGGGTAGAGTTCCTCCGGAGGCGGATGCTTCCAAGCTTTTCGCACGG